AGGTAATTCGTTTAAACTTGCTCCAATTGTAGGGTCACCTAAAGCACCGCTTCCACAACATATCAACAAATGAAAAGAGGAGTCCAATTTGAAGTCCTCCTTAGAATCACCCGCAACAAAAGGTACTCCGGATACAAGTGCATCTACTCTTTCATATAGCCTAACTACCCCTCAATCTCTCAAATCTTCATCCTCACCAATAAATACATCTTCCCCGAGCCACTCTCAAATACTCGACCCTTCTACTCAAAAATCAAACACGAGTGTAGTGATTCAGGGTGAAACCTACTGGAATCTTAAACACGAAAGTGAGAGGTCTAATTTTTTTATGTGTAGGAAGGAAGCTTTACACTTGGAACATGGAGTTCATTGTTTGCTATTACTTTCTAAACCTACTTATTTTTCCATGAATGACTCTAACAAACTTCCATCTAGTTTTTCTAACTTATTGCAGGCGTATGATGATGTTTTTCATGATGAAGTACCTCATGGTTTACCACCCACTCGTGGGATTGAGCACCAAATTGATTTTGTTCTGAGAGCATCAATTCCTAATCGGCCAGCCTATCGAGCCAACCCGGATGAGGTAAAAGAAATACAAAGGCAAGTCGAGGATCTACCGAGCAAAGGTTGGATTTGTGAAAGCCTAAGTCCTTGTGTTGTATATGTCCTATTGGTGCCAAAAAAGATGGAGGTTGGCGCATGTGTGTGGATTGCCGAGCCGTCAACGCTATAACAGTTAAGTATCGTCATCCCATTCCTAGATTAGATGACATGCTTGATAATTTGTGTGGTTCTGTAATTTTTTCAAAAATTGATTTAAAAAGTGGCTATCACCAAATTCGGATGAATCAAGATGATGAATGGAAAACTGCCTTCAAGACTTCTTTTGGTCTATATGAGTGGTTAGTTATGCAATTTGGAGTTACCAATGCCCCAAGCACATTCATGCGATTGATGAATCATGTTTTAAGGAATTTTATAAATAAGTTTGTGGTAGTATACTTTGATGACATACTTGTTTATTGTACTTCTATTGAAACACATGTTGAACATTTACAAGCAGTTTTAGATGTTTTACGGGTTGAGAAGTTATATGCTAACTTGAAAAAATGCGACTTTTGTGTCGACAAGTGCAACTTTTTGAGTTTTATTGTAGGAAAAGATGGAGTATGTGTAGATCCTGCGAAGGTTGCAGCCATCCAAGAGTGGCCTACACCTACTAGCGTACGTGATGTCCGCAGTTTCCGTGGCCTTGCAAGTTTCTACCGTCAATTTGTGCGAAACTTCAACACTATTGCAGCACCCTTAATTGAAGTTACCAAAAATAAGGATAAGTTTGAGTGGGGAAGTGAACAACAAAATGCTTTTGATACTTTAAAATCAAAACTTACATGTGCACCCGTACTTGCTTTACCTGATTTATCTAAACCGTTTGAACTTGATTTTGATACCTCTGGTGTAGGTATTGGCGCCGTCCTCTCGCAAGAAAAGAGACCCGTTGCATTTTTCTGTGAAAAGCTACATGGCCCTGCGTTGAATTACTCAACCTACGATAAGGAATTGTACTCCTTAGTGCGGGCCCTGCAAACATGGCAACATTATGTACGTCCTCCCGAAGCTGAAGGTGCAATTTGTCGGTGTACAACGTGCCTCTCGTTGAAGTCTACTGTTCATCCACGCGGTTTGTATACTCCGCTACCTATTCTTGAATTCCCTTGGGTTGATATTTCTATGGATTTCATATTAGGTTTGCCTAGGAGTAGGTCTGCTAAAAATTCAATATTTGTTGTGGTTGATCGCTTTTCAAAAATGGCACATTTTATTCCATGCACAAAAACCACTGATGTTTCACATGTTGCTTCATTATTTTTCAAAGAGGTTCTTAGATTACATGGTGTTCCAAGATCCATTGTCTTTTATAGGGATTCTCGATTTTTAAGTTATTTTTGGAAAACACTTTGGGCTAAATTAGGTACACAATTAATGTTTTCCACATCACACCACCCACAAACTGATGGTCAAATAGGAGTTGTTAATCAAACTGTGGGTAACTTATTACATGCCTTAGTTCATGAGAATTTGAAGAGTTGGGAAGAATGTTTAGCTCATGCTAAATTTGCATATAACCGTAGGATTCATAGCTCTACAAATTGTTCTCCATTTGAGGTTGATTACAGTTTTAACCCATTAACTCCTCTTGATATTATGCCATTGACACGCAATGAGCACGTTTGTTTTGATGGTAGAAAAAGGGTTGAATTTGTCCAAAATTTTCATTCTCAAGTTCAGGATGACCTACGAAAAGCAGCTGACAATTACGCAAAACAAGCTAACTGTGGGCGCAACAAAGTTGTATTCGAGATAGGAGATTGGTTTTGGCTACACTTAAGGAAGGAAAGATTTCCAGAATTACGAAAGTCAAAACTTACTCCCCATGGCGATGGGCCTTTCGAGTGTTGGAACGCATTAATGATAATGCTTACAAATTTGAACTCCCATGTGAGTACCAAGTTCATGCTACTTTTAATGTTTCTGACTTAAGCCCTTTTGATGCAGCGGATGAATATCTTGTTCGGGAGAACAAGAAAGCTTTTCAAGAAGGAGGGAATGACGAGGACGTCAAATCTTTAAGCATTCAAATGCCCGTGGGACCCATCACTCGAAGCCGAGCTCGTCAGTTTCAAAAATCCGTTACTACATTGATCAGACGATTTTTCATGGAGAATCAATTTAAGGATGATGCTTGGAGACCACTTAGCACTCACCTGACGCGCCTTCAATGGGACCCGCAAAAATCCCAATTGAAAGATCAAGAGAATCGCTAATCATGGAAGATTATCAAGAGAATCATCACTTATGGAGAGAATCATCACTTACGGAGAGAATCACTAATCATGGAAGTATATCAAGGGAATCATCACTTATGGAGAGAATCACTAATCATGGAAGTATATCAAGGGAATCATCACTTATGGAGAGAATCACTAATCATGGAAGATTATCAAGGGAATCATCACTTATTATGGAGACTTCTAGAAGTACCTTAATATATATTTCCTTTTATTATAAGTTTTCATATAGTATAATTCCATATCTAGAACTTCCCTAATTATTTATTTCCTTATAGTTAGACTTATCTTTTGGTTTGTTTCCTTTATTATTTGTTGCCTTTTATTTTCCTCAAGGACCTCTATATCAGGTCATTGCCTATCATTGTAATGCGGACCTTTTTTTACATCTTGAATCGAATTTCACTTTTATATTTTCTAGTGTTAGGGAGTGATTTCCTCGCATTTAGAATCTCAAATCGGGTCTTTGGAGTGATTCCATCGGTTCGTGGCTTCCAATCATTTGCAGTGGGATTTAGCCTATTGTTTGTGTTTTACCTATGGATTGATTTCAGGTCCGAGACTTATTCTCGTGATTGGTTATCATCTATACTAATTCACATTCTCTGCACTATCTTTCTTCTTCCTTCCCTTTTCTTTTATACATATTCTTAATCCATTTGTTCTATTGAACTTTGTGGGTAAAAAAATTATGTTGGTTATAATTATACGCGGCCGGGCCGTGTCAAGATCAATCACTAATTAAAATTCAATCCATCGATCAACACCAACAATCTATTCAACTTAAATCGATCGATCAATACCAACAATCCCTTCAAATTCAATTCATCAAAATCAACAAATCAGTCATCACACTTAATTTTTGTCTTGCCCACGACCTCGTCCTCACCCTAAACATTTACCCTAAGCTGCACAATGGAAAAAACATAACTCAAAATAGGTAACATAGAAAAAGATGAACATTTATCCTAAACTGCACAATGAAAAAAACAGAATTCAAAATAGGTAAAATAGAAGAAGATGAACATTTATCCTAAACTGCACAATGGAAAAAAGAAAACTTACCGAAAATCGCCTCCATAGACGCACCAAGTATCGTCGATTTGAAGTACGGTACAGAGAGTTGAAGAAGACAAATAAAAGACGACGCGCGAGGGAAGGGTTTCGTTGAAGAAGGCGATTTGAAGACGGAATGGAGAACAAACAAGCAAGAGGGAGGATTTTCGTTGAAGAAGACGATTTGAAGATAGAATAGAGAACAAGCGAGTGCGATAGAGGATTTTTGTTGAAAAAAACGATTTGAAGGGGGAAGATTAACGATTTGAAGACGAAGGATTCCTAAATCCCTGTAAGTCTTTAAAATAAAACTTACTATATTGCCCCTGCGTAATCTAAACAGTTCAGATTGGATCAGCATCAGCACCGGATCCGCCTCCAATTTGTTGACCTAATTTAATTTAGTCATTTAGTATATTTTACTGCACTTAAAGTAAAATCCATTTGAATTGATTTTTAAAAATAAGAAGAAATCAAAAGCAGAAACTAAAATCAAAATAAGAAGTAATTCGATTTTGTATTTGAATGAATTATTATAAAAACTGTTTGAATATAATAGAGTTAAAAGAGCTTTTAACCATTCAAATTATTTAAAATGATATGTTGTTAATATAATTGTATTTTTCTATAAATTTTTTTATAATATATTTTAAATTTTATAATTATATTTAAATATTTTAAATTATAGTATATAAAATATATTTTTAAAAAAGTTAATTATTTATATTTTAATAATTTAATTTTAAAATAATATATAAATTAAAAATAACACAACAATCCAATATTTTTAAATTTATTTTAAAATTTTATAAATTATATTTAATAATTTTAGTATAATTAAAAAAATTATATACTTTTATTTAAATGTGATATCTTAATATAATTTTAAATTTTAATTAAAGTATATCATATAATAAATAACTTTTTATTTTTATATAATATTATAATATAGTATTATATTGTATTTATTATTATTATTAATAAAGATAAAATAGTAATATTAATTTAAAATACTTTTTATTGTTTCTAAAATAATTTATTTTTGGACAAAATTCGAGACAAACAATAATGCAACATGAAGTAGATGGCAGTCGCCCTTCTAAACATCACACCACTCCTTAAAATGAAAAAACAGCACAGCAGCAAGCTGTTTGTTTGAGGCCAAAACCCTAATCGAATCAATCTATTACCGCGCTAATTCACCAAGTCCTTAATCCAAACTTGCAGAGCAGAGCTTCCAGGATGATGACCGAGTCCAAAATAGGATCTGCTTTCCAGGTTTGTTTTTTTGCTAAGAGAATCGAGGCTTCATTTCTCTCTCTCTAAGTTTATTTTATTTTATTTTCTTTCATTGTTAAGGAGGTTGCTGCAGCCCCCGTTGGCGATGCTCTCACCTCGCCCCTGGGAAAAGGTATTCCATTTTGATTATAACTTTGAGATTTTATTAGTTTTAGAACGTTATTTTTAAGTTCTTCCTGTGGTTCGCTTGTATTTTACTATTTAAGCTTAGTTTCTTCCACGGGTTCTGATTCTTCTCATTCCTGGGTTGTTGATTTGCCCTTTTTCATTTTCTGTTGCTTTTGTTTTATAGTAATTATGTATGGTGTTGCTATTGAATTGAATTTTAGGATTGGTTAGGAAATGATGCTGCTTTCTTATATGTGTAGCTGGCAGAAGAAAAGCCGAGGATGCTGATATGGTTGATGAAGAGAAGGTTGATTATCTGAATGTCAGTCAGTTCTCTTCCTAATCTACTCGTTGCTTGATTTGATGTGCAGATGTCATTTGTTACATTTGCTAAATTTTGGAGTTGCATTTTAATTTTATTAATGATGAAATCAATAGCTGTGATACAAAATGTGAATAATACGACTTGGATATAGACTCAAATAATAACACCCTAATCTAACTAATCTAATTGATATAACCAAATAACAATGAAAATCTAATCTAAATCATAAACTAAATAATTAAAATATCTCAATATTATTTCCAACTCAAGTCAAAGTCAAAAGCACCAATCTCAATTGAATTACAATTAAAACTATGACTCACTCAACCGAATAGAGTAGGAAATATAACTGGCTTAAAGCAAAGTTAGAATTGGAAATACGACTCCCCTTGGAATGAAGCTATAGTTGGAAATAAGACTTGCTTACAACAAAGGGTTGGAAATATGACCCTCTTACAACAAAGTACGACTCCCTTACAATGGAGTTAAAATTGGAAATAGGACTCCGGACTTGGTTACACAAAGTTAGAGTCCAAAATAGTATTCATTTAGGGTGAAGTTAAAGTCGAAAATATGATTTGCTCTCAACGAAGTTAGAGTCGAAATTTGCTTATAATGGAGTTAGCGTTGGAAAAAAATACTAAAAAAAAATAGAGTTAGAGTACAAAACATGATCCACTTATAATGTAGTTAGAGTCGAAAACAAAATTCATCTCACAACGAAGTTAGAGTAAAAGAAGACTCTCAACAAAGTTAAAGTTGAAAACATGACTTTGGATTAAACATAATCAGGAGTCCTGATTCAGGACAAATGATAGGAGACTAAACATAAATTTTATTAAAATTGAAAAGCAAAATTAACAATATGTACAATTGTAAACATCTCAAAATTAGGAATCTCCAGCTTGAGTATACCTGGAGAAGCGTGACTTTGATACCTTATGATATTTTGCATAGTTTCAAAGTTGCATTTTTATTAATAATGACATCAAGGACCTATAAATAAACATGATACAAACTGGATAGGTTCATATAATAATAACTTAATTTCATTGATATAATTTGTTAGTTGACTTTTGTAAAATATATAAATGAAGCACATTCCTACTAGTTTAAATTTTTAGGTGAGATAGTCATTCAAATATTCTAACATAGTATCAAAGTCGGGAAGTCCTGTGGTCGAGTCCCACCGCTCACATTCGTCGTCGTCCATATGCAAGATTCGTATTGTGGCATATATATCTTCCTCGCACGTGAGGAGGCATGTTGGTTGACTCCTGTAAAATTGATATATGATGCGTATATCTACTAGCTTAAGCTTGTAGATGAGACGATCATTTACATCTTCTAACATAACCAAATAACAATGACTTAATCTAGATAATAGAAATCTAATTTAAACGATAAACTAAATATCATAAATATATCTACAATATCTCATCAACATTGATTTTCAGATTTCATGTGATTCAAATGCATTAATTTGTTGATCATTTTGCAAGAAGTAATGCTTGAACTGTGGTATCATTTAGGCGCCATTGGCCGAAATTGGCTGTTTAGATTCAGACTTAGCTGGGGATGGTAGTGCTTTGGAGGGTGATACTAGCGGTTCAAAGAAGACACCTGCAATTGCGCCAGAGGATGAGAATTTAGCTTCAGATAAAAAGATTGAAAGAAATGATGTTTCTAATTCATCCCTTGGAGATGAAGCCAGTTTAGATGGGGATGTTGTTGAACTTGTTGAAGCTTCTCTTGCTCCAACAGAAAATGATCCTCCAAATGATGTGAAGGAATCCAGCGCTGATTTGGAGGATAAGACAATCAAAGAAGAGCCACAAAAGAAAAAGTTCAAAACTATGGTACCTTGGCATGATTGCATTTTGATTTAATTATTTTGTGCATCTTGGTATAAGACTTCTGATGGCGGTGATTTGTATGTATGATTTGGCTGTCTAGAACTTCAAATCTTGTATCAATATGAATGAGTCTTGTGGTTGTTTGATAAATATCGCTTGCTGATGGGCTATGTGTTTCGTTGGCAAACTGTACCAAAGAACTGCAGTAGCTTTGAGGCGTTTCCTAAAGATGAAAATTCATCAGAGGAACAAGAGAAAATTACTTCTGCATCTCCCATGAAAATTGTAAGCGTTCCTCTTTGTAGAAAAAATAGGGGAAGTTTATTTTATTTCATTCCAAGAGAAAAAAGAAAGGAAAATTCACTAATATATATATATATAGGTATTTGTAGATAATCTATCTAACAAACAAAATCTAATATTTGATCATAATAGTCCTAACTATATCAAGTCCATCTAAATTATAAATATAGATATAAATCTAACACTCTTGATGAACTGATGGATGGATTTATCATTGTTGCTTCCTGAGTTTTGTTTGTATGTGTTGCATGACTGGTGGTATGGATGATAAACACTTATGTTGGTTTTCAACTCATTTATCTTCCTTTCTATGCAGGATATGGAAGTAGAAATGACTGATGCTGCAAAAACAGCCAAAAATGCAGATAATGTGGGTTCCCTACTCGAAAATGCTGTGAGTTGTTTATTCTTCATGTGCACTTGCAAGTTATTTGGCTGGAAAAAAAATAATATATTCCCTATACTGTCACTGGTGGCTGTTACCTGTTTTTATTGTCCAAGGAACATGTATAAAGTACACAACTCAGGCCACAACATACTTGTATAAATTTATGGTATTGTTTAATTTTCCGCAGCCTGAAATCCCTTCCTCACCCAAAGAACAAAAAAGGGGCCCAAAATCTGTGTTTGTTGGGAATTTATCCTTCTCCATTGAGCGGGATGATGTGTAAGTCTTCTTTAACTCAAAATTCTTGTTTTTGAATTCTTAATTGATATTATCTTTTGAGCCCTACTTTTAATTGTCCAGTGAAAACTTTCTTCAAGCTGCTGGTGAAGTTGTTGCTAACCACTTTGCCATCAATTCAGACGGAACCTTCAGGGGCTATGGTTATGTTGAATTTGCTTCCTCTGAAGCAGCAGAGAAGGTATTCTTTCCCAGTATTGATGAATTATAATTTGTAATTGTTTGTTGGTAAATGCAGGTGTTCATAATTCTAATTTAGTTTCTATTACTTCATAATTTGGTTTGGTGGCTTTAAAAGTGGTTCTGATACCTGCTTGTTTACTTTTAGAGGATTCTGCAGCAGCTTTAGAGCAGAATGGTAAATTCAAAACAATTAACTTCTGAGGGCAGATCTACTATTTGCAATCCCTTTAAACTTGTATTATTTCTGAAAGTTTGATAGGTTGAAGATGGATCCTTGTGCAATCTCTTTGTATTATCTAGGCCGTCGTGGCATATGCATTACAAATAACGGAGAATAGTTGCTTGGTGCAACGGGAGATACTTATTTCTTTTGGGAACACTGTTGCAATTTCTACAGCTATTTTATTTTAATTATTTTCTTATTTATGAATACATATAGGCTGTCAGAGAATTGAATGGTAAGGAGTTGCTACGTCGTCCTGTTAAAATTGATTTTGTAAGGGAAAAGAGCTCACTCAACCCTTACAGAAGGTAAAACTGCTTTAATTCCTACTTTTAGTGCCATCTGCATTTTGAAAATATCACATCATCAATGAAAATAATATCTTCTAGTGTTCAAGACACAAAATCCCACAAGGTACAAACAATATACATTCGTGGATTTGATAAACATGATGGTATTGATCAGGTATGTTTTGCCATTCTATTTACATTTTCTGCAAGCAGCACTTCAATATGTTAGCCCCAAGATTCCTTATTTGTAATGTACTATTCTGAATTTAAGAACCATAAATTGCAGATTAAGAGATCTCTGGAACAACATTTTGGTCTTTGTGGCGAAATGACAAGGCTTACCATTCCAAAAGATTATGATGGAAGCATTAAGGGGTTGGCTTCTTTCTTCTTTCAAGTTTTAAAGCTAAGATGCAGAGCATTGTGGCCTTGTGGGAATCAGTCTCCCTGTCGCTTGTTATCATAATTGTCCCGTATTTTCGACTGTTAAGTTATAATCACGTGGTTTTGCATCAGCTAAGGCATTGCTCTTTCGTTACCAGGATAGCGTATATAGACTTCAAGGAAAAAGATGCCTATCACAGAGCATTGGAACTAGATGGATCAGAAATTGGAGGGAATCCCTTGGCGGTGGAGCCAGCCAAGCCGAGGCCCACTAATCATGATAACATCAGTGGTGGGAGATGGGCTGGTTCAGGTTTTGGTGGTAGATTAGGTGGTAGTGGTGGCTGGGGCTTCGGTGGTAGATTTGGTGGTGGTGGTCGAGGTTTTGGTGGTAGATTCGGTAGTAGTGGTGGCTGGGGCTTCGGTGGTAGATTTGGCGGTGGTGGTCGAGGTTTTGGTGGTAGATTTGGCGGTGGTGGTCGAGGTTTTGGTGATAGATTTGGTGGTGTTGGTTGCAATCAAGGGTGGTGTTAGAGGGTAGTGAGCGGAGCATCAAGCAAACCTAACATGGTTTTTTGCCTTATATAGTATGTGATTAATAACCTTAATTTCTCTTTTACATCTTCAATTTGATAAAATCGAATAAGAGACCAATTTCGTTAATGGAAAAGAGGGAAATATAGTTTTGGTCTCATGTGGCACGTCTTATAATTTTGGTCCTTTAAGTGATTCTATATGAAAATAGTCCTATATTTGATTCGCCATTACTGAAAAAAATCTTTCAGTACTAGATTCTTGCATGGAAGCTCAGCTGGAACCGCCATGTGGTATGTTCCAGTGCTAGAGGCTGATTTTGAACTGTGTTAATTGTTGCATTTAGTTACTAGGAATTGAATGAAAGGACAAATTAGCTGACACCAGAAAATTCCACATGGTGCAGTTCTAGTTCACCTTTAGGCTTTAGTGGGACCTAGTCAGCTCACATGCGGAACATGCATAAGAATTCGGCATAGAGAATAGTCTTAGTGATTATGATTCTAATACAGGACTATTTCATACAAAGTTCATTTAAATTGCCAAAATGATTAGTGCCACATATGAGCCCATATTACATTTCGGTGGCTATATATCTTACTCGTTGCTATAATGGTATGTGCGCGTGACACTCAATGCATGCATTTTAGACCCCTCACGTGTCACTTTGTGTTAGCATGTGTGAATCTCACACTCAAATATAGGATCATTAGAGAAACTACGAGTGAGATACAAGAGTAGTTCCTTATAGTGTCATAGTGTCACTTAATGGATCAACATGAGTATGAGTCCCTTAGGGGACTAACATTAAAACATACCCTTCATTAATTAATGGCTTCTATTCCTGTTAGTCAAAATACAGCCAATAGTATAGTTATCCAATCTAATTCCACTAAATAAGGTATTATTGATATTTGTAGATTTAGCCTTTTATCCAACATTCTTTTCACTAATTTTGCAGGGGACAAGATCTCGTTCAACAAAGATGATTAGTGATATAGTATCGACTAAGATCCATTCCTTGCCAGGTTTTGAAGTCATTTTTTGTATCTGTTTTTGGGCAGTGGATATAACTGAATCCATCTGTTTTTTTTTTTTTTTTTTTGTATGTAGTTGAATGTATAGACACCACCTAACTCTGTTGCCACGGTTGAGACAAGAATATAGATGAACATATCCAATACTTAGATTGAATGGATCTTTGTATCTATTGAAGTTATTGTCTATTATCAGCCAATTTTCAACAGCATTAGTATGTTGGGACCACATCTGGACATGCACCTCTATGTTATTAATGTTTATCAAATTACGGGTTTTTCTTATTTTATTTTATATATTTATTTTTATTTTTATTTTTTTTTCCTTTCACACGCTGTATTTGCTCTGTACCATCTTCTCTCCTGCTCTCCCACAAGTAAGCCAGCATTCCTTTGATGAAAATGATGAGTATATATTGAGTTTCATGATTTAGGATTTTCTATATTTGAAATTCACTTTTCTTTTGCATATGGGGGAATCTCATGGTTTTTGTCTATTTCACTGGAGGTCACTAGCAAACTACATAATGAATAGAGAGTTCTGGAACAAGCTCTACAAGCAATTATATAGGAATTGTCGAAGGCAAGCAATGAGGTAATTTTTAACGGCAAGGTTTTTTTTTTTTTTTTTTTTTTTTTTTTTTTTTTTTTTTTTTCCTTTTCAGCTTATTGGGTGTTTTTTGATCTTGGTTTATGATTGGAGATTGATACTAAGCAAAATTTCCTTGTATAGATATTCCACTCCTGTTTTGATCAACAATCTTAAGGAGATCTCACTCATCCTTCACTAATAGAGTGATCACCTCACCTGGATGAAGATTGGTGGGAAATAAATACAAACGGCTTAGCTTTTGGCAAACCCAGAAAGGCAGGTACTCTTCTTTAGTCTTTCCAGGTCCAATCAAAATTGCTGACTTGAATGTTGCAGAAATGAGATGAAACCTAGAAAGATGAAATCTTTGATGGCTTGTTGATCAGCCAAATGAAATGTCTTCCAAAATTGTTGTTGAATGCGACTCAAGTAGTGATTTAAATTGGATCTACAGTGTTAAGATTCCTGGAAATCCTCTTGCTCCCTTCCAATTGGTCCCGTACAAGTGCAAACAACGTTGTGGATGCCCAAGGAGGTAAAAGGCTATTTTTCTTATGTTATATTATTTTTCATTCTATAGACCTTGTTGTTCACAAGAGATTATAAATTTTTATATGATATACTTTTAATATTGAGATTATATATATATATATATACATGTGTGTATATACATGCGTGTAGTCGAAAGATGATTCCATAATATAATGAAAGGGTCCTGCATTTGAATTTAAATGATTATTGCACAGGTCAATTTAATGATTACTTCTATATAGTGTGAACCACACCACACTGCCATGAAATGATGTAAATAAACAACATAATTATTAAATGGCTCTGTTCATAGGTCATGAAATGGAACTTCACATTGGAGATGGATCGTTTTGGTGCTACAAATCAATGCTAAGTAGCCAAGAATCATGAAAATGCAGATCAATGTAATTTGCACCGTACTTGATGTAAAAAATCAATATTTGATAAATGCCGAAGGGAACATTTACAAAGCAAGCAATTGAATCGCAATTCTTGCTTGAGGATCAGGCTCAAGATTAACTGAAAATGGCAGACATAATAATAATATATAGCATAGAAGAAACAACATGGGGTTGGGAGTAGCAAACATGACTCCTAACCTGTGCAAGGAGTGATGTGGTGGTATGGTATTTACTACTACTGTGGTGGAGATACCTGCGAGAAACAAACCTCAAAAGATTTATCCAGGATTGTGTTGTCAAATTACAGATTATCTTGAAACATGTACATTGCATTTATAAGTTTGTTCTAGCCTGATTGATGGTAAACAATTGAAATATCTAATCTGATGGTAAAAAATTACTGGACTGGAGGGGCCTGTGCAATGTTTGAAACAGTAGAAATAAAGGAGAAAACTGTGGAGAAGACAAGACATGCTTGATTCATTTGACAGAGCTACTAATAGCTGAGGAGTGAAAATAAATAAGCCAAGATCAAAATGAGCTGCATACCTTGTGAAATTTTTTTATTCATCCTAGATATTTCAGTAGGACTCCATCATTCCCCAGCACAAATCCTTGTTTCTCATTTATAAACCTGCATCCATTTAGTAGTGAGTTGAGAAGCAGTAAACTGAGCCAAGAAATAAGTGGCACGCACGACCAAGCTAAGATTATTTTCTGTAGATCTTTCTCCTGTCCATGTTTTTTAGGCTTCGGAGGTGTAACAAATAAAGTGTTCAGTGTAATGAGATAAGTGCAAAAGCCAGCAACTTAATGCAAGTAACCCTTCTTACTTCACAGAATAGAGATTTGCAGCAATGTTGTCTGCTGACTTGTCCCGACTCCAAGACTTCCCACTGTTTGTGGTTTTCAACAGAACACCACTACCTCCGGCAGCCCAAGCTTCCTCCTGCAAGATGCATTTTACAGATGAAGAGCACGAAGAGGAATTTATGATCTACGGTGATAGAAAATAGTAATGTCAGAATTTTGCTTGGCTGTCTATACTCATTCAGGTACTTATTAGAATCCTCATCTAATTTCCCTCTTTCATTTTCCTCCTTTTCATGGATGATACCATTTGCATATTAAAATAACATGTATTTGTTCTTTATATGTACCAATTTACAATTTTCTCTAAACAAGGATGGACCAATCAAAAGATCCTCCCAAATTGAACAAAAGAATTTATTGAAACATCCAACTTGATTGAATAACAAAGACCTTATGGGCACTAAACATAATCTTCTTCATCTCATCTATGAATATAGAGGGAGAAAAAAATTATTTAAATATAATAAACACACAACCACATTTACAAACCTCAATCATGTTACTTTATCACTTTATGGATTTCATACTACATATTCCTTCTATTATGACCAAAGGCAGTGATTGCGAAGCTTTTTCATTTTCTAAATGTTGAAAATGGCCAGTCTAAAAGAGCTGGCTTATCAGTCTAAATACCTGTGAGCGATACCCAACATCAAGAATTCCAAATCCTCGATTTTGTACAGGCACTTCCTCAAACTCTTCAGTTATCTAAATATAATGAGACAAATTAAAAAAAAAAAAAAAAAGAAGTTAAAATTCAACACACTGTAGGTAGGAAAAAATAATTAATCATCAGAGTACATTAAAAAAGAACCAAACTGTTTGGTAATAGCAAAATTAAAGACAAAGCATTCCTCCCATAATTTAAATAATAAAGTTCTCATGCAACACTTTTTCAATCAAAGAACCGATCTTAGAGTTTAGAAGATTATTATTAGAGAACCACGGTTCTCCCCCTATTTCAAAATATAGTAGGTCTTTCATTTCTGATTATGTACTAGGGCACCATGTTTTTCTCTCTATCTTGAAGTGCATCCTAAATTAACCTTTCTAGGCACCTTAGGTCATCCGTTTGCTGTTCTCTATTTTTTTCATAAACTATAAGTAGCTTATGTAGTTTTGCTTCTCTCATGCAAGCCCAGTGAGGCTACCAAATCTTGCACCACCAGCACCACTATGATGTAATGGCTCTTCAGATTTAAATAGTCAAATGTCTCCAGTAGCTCTAACAATTCTAGTGACCGTTGTTGCGAGATACCATCATTGTTAATCTTAACTAGAGTCTCTCTAAATTTAATTAAGAAGATGACACCTTATATGTCTCCATCTTATCAATGTACAGAATTATATTCTTGAACCATATATCTGGGTCACTTATTAAACTTGATGATAATATTAGCACAGCAATAATGCAGAGAATTGATCACGCAAAATGGATAAATGTAGCAACTATTTGCAAATAAATATCATCTTTTTGACTTAGGAACGAAAGAAATATTTTTACAATATTGAGCCATTTTATAGTTACAAAATGAAGCAGAAGTCTTCTTAAGAATCATCAAAAACCTAATTGATGAACTTTTAGATGAGATTGAGATTCCATATTGTTTTAATTCTGGTGACAAAACCTTGATTGTTACTAGCTAGTGAAATTTCCAATGGGTGAGTGGTTCAACAAGAACAGGTTTGAGAGTTTGGCTATTAAAGTCAACAGGAATCATTCTAAGAAGGTTCCGTTGATAGTACACTTTTGTCTTTTTAATTTGTAATAATCCATTCTCTCATAGTGAAAACCTTCATCCTGCTTCCACAGTATTTTCTCTTTTTTTCCATTCTGTGTTTCCACATAAATCCTTCAATTCATGTGTTTATATCTCACCTCAAATTTACATTCTACATCAGTGTGAGATTAAGGCTACTTATTCTGGGATTTCTATTCCTTTTCGTGCTTAAACTTGCCTTTGTCAGATTAATTTTCTGCTTCCTTACTGCAACTATTCGGTCTGCGTTGATATTAGGTGAAATCCTCGAACACATTAAGATGATCAAAATAAGGGATAAAAAAAACACGTTTGGAAAAATCGTAAACTATGCAACTTCCACATGTTTTAACAAAAACTATAATTAAAAATGTACTCACGCCTGTGCCCTTGCTGAGGTAAAGTCCCCCACCACGGACAAGAAGCCAAAGACCCCCATCAGCTCTCCAGCCCATGTTCTGAATTCTTCTTGCAACCGCCCTGTTATGTGGCTGCCAGAATGCCTGAGGCATTTCATGCAAATTACTACTATAACCTTCTATAGATTTTCTCATAATTAATTTGGAAGATAGCATTTGAATTGAAGACAACAAAAACAAATGATGCAATATTCTCACAGAGGTTCAAAACCAGCAAAGCACTTGCTTGCATAAAACACCTCACCTGACCAGGTTCCCATGTCAAATAGAAGTTACCCCGACTTGAAACTGCAACATAGTTTCCATCTGGCGAGCGATTCACAGTACTAAAAGTGCCAGTATAGTAGCTAGCACCACTGATACCACTAGAAACTGTTCTGTTACAGCAACATGAATACACAAGTCATTATGATAGAAAGAATTATTAAATATAGCGGACGGATTATCATGGAAGACTAAAATATAAGTAGAAACTAGTATGAAATAATGTTTTATGTCGGGGGCTTTATCAAAGGAATCATGACATGGGTCATATCTTGCCCATTTAGTTACTACTTGATCCACAGGATCCCGATCCAAGCTATTTCAAGACAATGTGTCAAATTTGATGAATGGTATTTAGATAACTGAACAGGAGGAATGACCACACTGGAATCAGTTCATTCAACAGGAGCGTCCCCAGGAGTAGACAGGCAGCATTTAAGAGAAGGCTCTGAAGCTGCTTGCAAACCAGCCCACTTTCATATATACAACTGGTACATGAGTGGATTTCTGCTTAAACTGCATACCACTCAAAACTTTGATCATTCTTCTTATTTTATAACCCTGTCTTGGTTGTATATACTTCCTTCTTTGATCATGCCACAAGGCTTAAGCTATTCTATATTTATTTATCTATTTTTTGCAGGTTTATTACTGCTTACGTTAGTTAGGCAGCTTAACCATTCAACTTGCTAGTCCAAGCAAGACTCCTCAAAGAAAAGGAAAATTGGTCACAACCGCTTGCTGCAATGTTAATTCCTATGATTTAAAGACAACAATGTATATAACTTGTATGAAATTGCAAATATATGAGAAAGACCTAGAGCACGCTGTAACTTCTAGCTTAGTTTATTGTAAATTGTAAAAATAGAAGCATTGATAATAAGACCCTATCCTTGCAAATCTGTCTTCAAGGAAGGCTATCTGAGAAACATAAGCTAACATTTCAGAGGAAACTAACCTATTTAAAGTAGCTGAAACTGTCTCTTGTACCGCAGCCCTCCAGTTGTATCCTCCATTTGATGTTACGTAGATTGCACCTTGATCAGTCACCATTTCTGCACTCTTTTCTCCAGTTGCATTTACATATACCTGAGATGATCAAATTCATAATATCCATCTTAAATTGTACAACAAATTTCCTTCCATCCGAGTTTTTCTTGGAACAGTTTTACAAAAAAATGACTACTATATACAGAAAATTGGAGAAAAAAAAAATAATAAATAAAATCATCATAACAATGATTATATTATAAGTCAACCTGCACAGGATGATAAATCCAACAAAGAAAATATAGACTGTGATGACGCTTGATGACCATAAAAGAGAACATATTAAAATTGTGCCAGGTCTTTCAGATGTTAGGCATACTGCATATACATTTCAAGTCTAATAGTTCCTTCTATAATAATAGTATTTCTACTCGACAAAAAGGATTGGCTGTGCTAGGAATAGAAATAAGAAGCACGATGCTTTACCCAATTTTCCTGGGTTAATTTACAAATACTTTATTCCATCTATAATTTCAGTAGTCCTAATTTAGGATTTAAATACCCTTCCAAACAATTCAGATTCAAAAGGAAATAAATGACAATAAATTAAAATTAAAATTTTGAATTTTAAATAAACAATAACCAACAGGATTTATGCCTGTTTTCGTCGATGGTAGACCTGCGGGTCGACGCCCTTGCACCACATCAATTCCATACATGATATCCAAGTAGCCTCATTGAATGATTGCCCATGCCACTTAACCAATAACTGCTCAACAGTGACCCCGTCCTCTTGAATCACTTGTTGCGCTAACACCTCATCGGGTTCAAACATAAGCCCTATGAGCAGTTTCAAATTTTGCGGTAAATTTCCTGGATAATTTTCCACGACACGTTTCAGTTGAGACACATGGAACACCTGATGAATATGGCTAGATGCCGGTAGTTCCAAGCGCACACAGCTGGTCCCGCGTGCTCCTCCACAAAAAATGGACCAAAAAATTTAGAGGTGAACTTATGATTAGATTTTGTAGCTACCAAATGCTGTCGATGTAGACGAACTTACAAAAGGACCTTATCCACTTGATAATCCACCTCCTGACGTTGCCAATTAGCAAATTTAGTCATGCGCTATTGTGCTCTCTTCAATGACTATCGCAGTCGGCATATAACATCACCATCTCTACTTGCATCGACTACTACGACAACCCAGTATTTCCCCGAAAGAAACCGTCGAATCGTTGGTAGAATCCTACCATTAACCACTTCAAATGGAGTAATCCCGGCTGCAGTTTGGCATGTTGTATTGTACCAATACTCTGCCAACGAAAGCCACCATAGTCAATGCGTTGGTTTCTCACACATGAAACAACGCAAGTAACTCTCTAAGACTCGGTTCAACATTTCGGTCTGGCCGTCCGTTTCCGGATGATAAAAAGTACTAAATTTAAGTTTCGTTTCAGTTAATGTAAACTCCTTTCAGAAACTACTAAAAAACAGTGAATCCCGATCATTAACAATTGATCGAGGAATCCCACGTAACTAGACCACCTCTCTTGCAAACAACTCCACCACCGAGCGTGTTGTAATAGGTGGACGGATAGCTAAAAAATGTCCATCTTGGACAACTGGTCCACCACTACCAAAATCGTCGTACGCTCTTTCGACTTGGGTAAGCAAATGATGAAGTCTATTGAAATATTTTCTCATATCAGTTTCGATATGGATAGCGACTGAAGTATTTCCACCGGCGACAATGCTTCATACTTTGCTTTTTGACATACCAAACACTGAGCCACATGGCGTTGCATTCGGCCAAACATGCCCCGCTAATAAACATTCATAGCGAGGCGCCGGTAGGCGCAAAACACACCCGCGTGACCCCAAACAGCCGAGTTGTGTAATTTCTCCAACAAGAGAAGAATCCACTTGGAGTCGGAAGCCAGCGCCAAACGTCCTTTGTGCAATAGCCACCCCCCCAATCAACTCAAAGCCCATATGGCACGTCGGATCCATTTCTAGCGCTTTCCGAATTTCTCGCAAATATGGGTCTTGTGTTTGTTCCTTGCATACATCCTTTAACCCCAACTATTTGGGCCTACTCACAACCGTCAACGATACTTCCTTCGCTCTCCTTTCGAGAGCATTCGCCGCCGCATTAAAAGCCCTGTTATTGTATTCAATAACAAATCATACCCTAGCAACTTCGCTACCCAAACTTGCCACGATACGCTCAGTAAGCAGATATTTCAAACTACAATGATTTGTCCGCACCACATATCGTCATCCAATCAAGTAGGGCCACCAATGCTACACGGCCAAAGCTAACCCCATTATCTTACACTTATAAGCCGATCTAGATAGGGTACGATTTGTCAATGACTTATTATAATAAGCAATAGGTCTCTTCTTTTGCATGAGCATCACCCCTACACGAGCACCTGAAGCATTCCACTCCAAGATGAATTAGCGATCAAACCGAGGCATCGCCAGTACCGGAGCCTCTGTCACGGCCTTCTTCAATTGCTCAAAAGCCTTTTCTACCTTAGAGGTCCATACGGAAACGGCAGAGGCCTCTTTTTTCAAGAGGGTTTTGAGGGGCCGAGCAATAAAAGCATACTCCCTCACGAACCTGCAATAATAACCAGTAAGACCTAAAAATCCCCTAACCTATCGTACTGATCGGCCAGCGTGGCCAATCAGCAACTGCACTCACTTTCTCCGGATCCATCGCTACTCCTGCACTAGATATGACATGCCCCAAGTATTCGATATTAAGGCAACCGAACACATTTTTTTTTGTTGGCCTGAAATTGATGCTTGGTTAAAACTTGAAGGACTACACTGAACTGTTCTCGATGTTCTTCCCACAATCTACTATATATCTCAAGATATCATCAAAAAAGACTAGCACAAACTTGCTTAAGTACGGCCTTAACAATTCGTTCATAGTTGACTGGAAGGTTGCCGACGTATTCATCAACCCGAATGGCAAAACTATGAACTCATAATGCCCATTGTGCGTCGAAAACACCGTCTTATAGACATCTGAGTCCGCTACCCTAATCTACTGATATCCCGAGTGCAAGTCAATCTTCGAAAAGACCACCGCATCCGCCATTTCATCAAACATATCCTAAATTACCGAAATTAGGTATTTGTCGGGCACCACAGACTTACTTAATTCCCGGTTGTCCACACAAAATCTCCAACTACCATATTTTTTACCAACAAAATTGGGCTGGAAAACGGGCTTGAGCTCGGTCGGATGATCTCTGCATGCAACATCTCCTCCAAACCTTTCTATCTTATTCTTTTGGACGTGCCTATAACGGTAAGGCCGGACCGACACTGGCTTTGCACTCGGTGCCAACTCAATCCAGTGGTTTGCCCCCTCTAAGAGGACCGCCCAAAATTCAGCCTCCGATGTCTTGACTAGTGTTTTCAAACTCACCTTCCGACGCAGCGCCGGGTCCCCTCTTAGCTCCACTCGACCGTTAATTCCCTCGAAGTACATAGAAAGCTCTGCTCAATTATGAAAAATTTCTCCAAGTGTGGTGAGAGCCACACAATACCTAATATAACTTCCACACCTCCTAAGAGAAATACGTAGTAGTCTGCCACCGCCTTACATCCTGGTATTCCGATGGCTAAATTCTATCAAACCCTTTTTGATTCTTTTTGGCGACCATATCCTATTTCTACCCTGGATTTTCCAATCGGTTCTCGATGTAGCTCCAATCTGTCAACCAAGGAAGAATATATAAAGTTCTGGCTCACTCTCCTGTTAGTCAATACAGTTATTTTTGTGCCTCGAACTATGCCCCTTAATCGCATCGTACGAGGACTAAACACCACAATCATCGAATACACTGGTACGCCCAACTCTCCCTCCCATTCCTCACCTCATAATATTCGTGCTTCTAAAAAGCTAACTTCTCGTCTTCCTCAGTGATTAATACCCGTAGTTGCTTCAGGGGACAATCATGCCCTGGGGAGAAGGACATTTCGCAACGAAAACACAATCCTTTCGCACACAGTTCCTCTAATACCTTGGGTGGAAGTCGGGTGAATCGGGAATGCACTATAGACTATCCTGATGTCCCCGAGCTCATGCCCACAGCCTGGCTCCCAGCCCTCGGGCCACTACCACTCACATTGCTTATATTTCAAATAATTGGATGGTCGTCTTATGATTGGGAAAACCCTCACGAGTGGTTTCCGAAGTTACCAATTGACTGGCTCCCTCGCATGTCATTCTATAAACTCAGTTTTATCTTCAATGTCCTTGGACAACTCCATTTGCGGTCTCCAAATCAATGGGCCGTAGTAGACGAAGTGAGCCCTGAATTGGACCTTCATGCCATTCATAAAATACCCTAGGTAGTGCGTCTCCGACAATTCCAGAATTTGACTTGCCAACTAAACAAAAGCGGTATATACTTATCCACCGTCCCATGTTGTTTTATCTCTAATAGTAGCTCAAACCGGTCGCCCTTAAAACGCTTGTTGAACCGCACCACTAGTGCATATATAAATTCCTCCCACAACAGCCCGGGAGATGCGTGCATAGCCACGTCACCAATACAACACCGGTCCTTCCATTGCGATCATTGCCATTGCTACTTTCCGTTCCAGTGATGTGCTGTAAATCTTAAATTGTTGTTCAACCTTCGCCACCAAGCCGATCGGGTCATCTCCGTCAAGCCATGGCAATTGCACTGTCGTCCCAATGTGTATCATGTGCGCTCCTTCAACCCGAGCTCCTGTTGCCGCATTGCCACCCAGCTACGTCATGCCCCCTTACTGTCTGCTCTCTGCCCTTGTTGCATCTGCCGCCACCTCCAGCGCTTTCCTCTACATTGATGTTCCAATCGCCGGCCTCGGAAGTGATATCCCCCCGTCAAGGCTGCCAAGGATGATGCAATATTGGCGAGTTGCGCTGCCTGTGCATCCAACTTCATTTGTTGCGCCTTTAACTTCGCATCTTGCGCATCCATCTTTTCGTTAATTTTATTTTGATATGATTCCAATCTGTTCAAATATTCCCCATGCGACAAAATCATCCCGACGGAAATGTATCCGACAAGTCAGTCCAATTGTGAAGAATAGATGAGAACGAAGATGAGTTACCCAATTTCCCTTAACCAAACGGGTAAATTCAAATATACTTATTTCATCCATAAATCCAATAGTCTTTAGGGATTTAAATTCCCTTCTAAGCAATTCAAATTCAAAATAGAAATAAATGTTAATAAACTAAAATTAAAGGCAATGAATTAAAATTTGAATTTCAAATAAACGATAACCCATGGAAGGTGGATTCATGCCATTTCCATCGATGGTAGACCTGCAAAGGTCGACACCCTTGCACCACGTCAGGCTGTAAGACAGGGAATCAGATAAAGGTACAAAGATTGCTTTTTCTCACTTCTGAAAGCAGTTTCATCCTGTCAACTGCATCACAAGTGTTGAGTCCTTGCACCTACTTTTCATAGTGGTCTAGCTAGTTTGTACTTCCATTTAATAAAAATAAAAAAGGAAAAGACATTCCAAGTCAGCAGAGGAAGCAGCATCCTTTGTTGAATGTGATAGTGAAAATACAAACCTTAAAGAAGAATATCTTACACATTAAGGGAAACAAAGGATACACTTCACCATTGCAAATTATTGAATAAATCCTTCATGACAGCTATTGTTTCAATCATTTGTGTGGGTTGCATTTGATCATGTGTTTTCTAGAGTCATATTTGCCAGGAAGTGAACTCAAGCTGCCAACAATACATTGCTTCCAAGGGCGAGTAATACTACCATAAACTGCCATTTCAATTACATCGAGTTCTTCATCACTGAACTTAATGTCACAGGAGTAACCTTTTAACTGTCTTTGGTCTAGGCTATTTTTGTCAGATTTCAGCCTATTCACCCTGGTTTGAAGTATCTGACAGTTTTCAACCACAGAATCACCACCTTTAGAAAAAGGGATTATATGGTCATACTCATAGCAGAGGCAACCAACACAGCTATGCAGACGTTTGCAAACAATGTTTCCGGCTGTATCTACTCGCCATCTGTCAGGGTCACGACCAGGGACTTTTTTTGCCTTGTTCCAGCAAATATTCCTAGCCTTTGGATCAAAGAACCTAGGTCTCTCTTCTGTTCTGCTTCTTTAGCCACCACCTCCCAAATGATGCTGAATCCAAGAAATCTAGATATTATCTTCTGATAGAAACAAGAACACAATTTAATAGAAATAAGAACCAATTTTATTGATCAAAAGAAGATTGATATCTTCTGCCCAGCCCTAGCCGCTCACACTCATTCTTTATGGATAAACTTTTCTAACCCTAATTCCATTTATTTATATAAACTTATAAATATAATTACAAATAAGATAAGGACTAATTTGCAATGCAAATATATAGTAATTATGGTAATGCATCGATTAGACTAAAATGCCATTTTCCGCGTCGTGTATAGACAAGCAGCGGTACCAGGCCATTGTTTCCGGTGCTTGGCGGTTGTTCCATATCAACTTTATCCCCCTCTGAAAAAGCCTTGTCCTCAAGGCGAAATTCTAGAATTGGCCATGCAAATCCTCAATATCCATCCAGGTGGCATCATTCTCGGAAAGCCCTTGCCACTTGACTAAAACTTGAGTTACATTTCGCTCTTTCTAGTGTTGTACTTGCTTCCCCAACACTCGCTCCGGTTCAAATAAAGGGATATCAGAAATATCTAAACCATAGGGCAGCTCGGATTCTACTGGATGATCCCCGACTACTCTTTTTAGTTGCGAGACATGAAAAAAATGGTGAATTCGGCTGGATTCCGAGAGTCGTAAGCGATATGCTCTAGCACCAATACGCTTCTCTACTCGGAAAGGGCCATCATAACGCGCAGATAACTTGTGGTGGCCTGTGGTCTGAATCGATGTTTGCCTATACGGTCAAACCTTCAAGAACACCGCATCCCCAACATCAAATTCCACCTTTCGACGGTTCGCATTGGCGTACCTTTGCATCCGCATCTGCGCCTGTTCTAGGTTGAATCGTGTTGAATATTGTCCCACATTACTAAATGTGTGAGAACTCATCTAATATATAAAAGTGAAGGGCCACTCCACCTATCACCAATTGGTTTTAGGTTGGATGTCCGGATCCTTTCTTAACATGGTATCAGACCCTAGGCTAGGTCTCGAGTTCGAGTCCCGTCTGTCCCATTTGCGGCATACGCATGTGCAAATTTCGCGTATCCCACTTGCACCTGTGGGGGCGTATTAGGGACTCCCGTTTAAGAATATATGATTAATGACTGCGTTTTCTTAACAATTCAAGCTTTTAGGTGAGACGGTTATTCAGCATCCAACATGGTATCAGAGCCAGATTGCCCGTGTTGGGTTTGGATCCTATGGTATCAGAGCCAGATTGCCCGTATTGGGTTTGGATCCTGTATGGATTTTCGATATTATCATCTCAAGGGGGGAGTGTTGAATATTGTCTCACATTGCTAAATGTGTGGGAACTCCCCTAATATATAAGAGTGAAGGGCCACTCCACCTATCACCAATTAGTTTTAGGTTGGATGCGCGGATCGCTTCTTAACAAATCGTAACAGCCGAAGTGCTGCATCTCGACCACCTAGAAGTTCAGCCACAGCTGCTACCTTACATTCCCCTGGGAGGTAGCGGCGTAAATCCGGTGTTGGCCGTCCATAAACTGCTTCAAATGGGGTGATCTTGGCTGCTGTTTGGAAAGCAGTAATGTACCAATACTCCGCCCATAAAAGAAACCCAACCCATTTACGTGGTTGCTCTGACGAAAAACATTGAATATAGGGTGCGTTTACTTGTGAGATTTGTTTTTCCGTTTTACTATTTCAATTTTTTTTCCCTAAAAAACATCAAATCAAACACCTATTTTTTATTATTATATTACACTAAAATTAAATTTTACATTCAAAACATCACATCAATACATATTTATATCACATCAAACAACTATTTCAATTCAAAATTTTACTATTCAAAACCAAAATCTCACATGTAAACACACCGTATATGTTTCCAAGATACAATTAAGTACCTCTGTTTGCCCATCAGTCTCAGGGTGATATGCAGAACTGAATTTGAGAGTAGTCCCTTGGAGCATAAAAAGTTCCTTCCAAAATGTGCTTAAGAATACCGCATCTCGATCACTAATTATCGAACGAGGTACACCGTGCAGGCGCACCACCTCCTTAGTGAATATGTCATCAACAAAACGGGCTGAAAAAGGCATGCGTAAAGCAATAAAGTGCGCATACTTGGTTAAGCGGTCCACCACCACTATTACACAAGAGAACCCTTAGGATTTAGGCAATGAGGTGATGAAGTCCATAGAGATATCTTCCCAAATCATCGTCGGAATCGGCAACGGTTGTAGAAGACCGGCCGGGGAAGATGTTTCATATTTGGCCTTCTGGCAAACGATGCAACTGTCCACATAATCCCGTACCTTACGGTACATACCCCGCCAATACACACTAGCGGAAAGACGACGATATGTGCGATAAACACCCGCATGTCCTCCACCCGGGGTTGAATGAAACTCACAAAACAGCTGCTGAATCCATTCAGAACCCTCCAGGATGACCAGCCGACCTCGATAGAACAGTTGGCCATCAATCAGCTCAAAGTTACTTCGTTGTGCCTTCATTTTGTAACTTTTTTCAGATTGCTTGGAGAGAAGGATCTCTACATTGTTCATCGTGTATCTCCTCCCAACCTAGCCATGTGGGTGCACTCATGGCTCCTAACTCCCCTCTCTTCTCACCACGCCGTGACAAAAAATCAATTGCAGAGTTAACTCGGCCCGGCTTATAAACGATATCGAAAAAGTACTCTAATAGTTTGGCCATCCACGCTCGTTGTGAAGGGGTAGCAATTCGTTGTGTGGGCAAGTATTTCAGGCTATGGTGGTCTGTCCGTACTGTGAACCTTCGACCAATTAGATAAGGACGCTAATGCTGAATCGCAAGAACTAAATCCATCAATTCATTTTCATAGGCGGATTGGGCAAGGGTTCTATCTTCTAACTCCTTACTAAAGAATGCATAGGTCCCTCATCTTGCATAAGAACAACTCCTAAACCTGTTCCGGATGCATCACACTATTATAAAGTGCTTTTGAAAGTTAGGCATAGCTAGTAAGGGTGCCGTAGTAAGAGCAGTCTTTAAGGCATCAAATGCAATCTGTGTTGTCCATAATAATGGCGTGGCTGTTTTCTTAAGTAATTGTGTAAGCGGACGGGCTATGACTCCATAATGTCGGATAAAACGCCTATAGTATTCTGTAAGACCAAGAAATCCTCTTATTTCCCTCACCGATTTAGGAATCGCCAATTTACCACTATAGTAATTTTCTCCAGGTCCATCGCCACTCCTTTTTCCGACACGACATGCCCCAAGTATTCTGCTGAAGTGCAGCCAAAAGAGCATTTTTTTTTTGTTGACTTTATATTGATTTTCCTGCAAAATCGCTAGAACCCGAGATAAGTGACCGAGATAGGCTTCTCATGATCGACTATATATAAGTATATCGTCAAAGAAAACCAAGACAAACTTGGGTAAGAGTGGCCGAAATAGATCATTCATGGTAGCCTGAAATGTCACCGGAGCATTCATGAGGCCAAATGGCATGACTAGGAATTTGTAATAGCCATTGTGTGTCCGAAACGCTGCCTTTGGTATATCGGATGGTGCAACTCAAATTTGGTGATAGCCCGAACAAAGATCAATCTTTGAGAAGACCACTACACCCGCAAGCTCATCTAACATCTCTTGAATAACAGGAATTGGATATTTATTTGGGATGGTAAGCTTGTTTAGTTCGCGGTAATCGATACAAAATCGCCAACTACCATCTTTTTTCTTCACGAGCAACACGGGGCTCGAGAATGGACTTAAGCTTGGCCTTATGATGCCTGCGCACAATATATCTTCCATTAGTTTTTCGATTTCGTCCTTTTGCACATGTCTATAACAGTAGGGACGAACGGAGATAGGCTTTGCTCCATCCTGCAAGATGATATGGTGGTACACCGATATGGTTGGAGGGAGTTCCGTGGGCTCACCAAACACCTTTTCATATGTCTTTAGCAAGGTTTCGAGGGCTGCATTGGTTTGAGAGGTTGCTGCACCCTCTTTCCGCAACATCAAACACCATGTCGGGTCCACTACGATGGCACAAAATTCTGCTTGAGTAGTGCGGAGCATGGATCGGATGGCTACCGGGGAACGATTAAGAGCTGGATCTCCTTGTAAGGTGGTCGGCACTCCATCCACTTTGAAAGACATTGACATTGTATGCCAATTTACCTGCGCATTCCCTAATGTCTTCAGCCATGCAACTCCCAAGATCACATCCACTCCACCCAAAGGGAAAGCATAACAATCAGCTTGGACTATGCATCCGTCCAAGGTAATCTGTAAGCCTGGGCATACTCCTTGGCATTCCAAACATCGCCCATCCCCTAGTGTGACTCCAAACTTGCCTGTAGGCTCTGTCAATAATCCCATCTCTGTTACGATAGAATACGAGATGAAATTGTGACTTGCTCCACTGTCGATCAGCACAATCACACTTTTATCCTGCAAAAGTCCTTTAATTTTCATAGTACAAGGTCCTGTAAAGCCCGCCATCAAGTATAGAGGTAAATTTCCCAAGTTTGATTCATCTTGAGCTGCAGCCCTCTCTTCGGGATCCATGGCTGCATCACCTGTCATTTCCTGCAAGTCTCCATCCCACGAATCTCCCTCCTCTACTAACAAAATTCTCAATTGTTTCTAAGGGCACTCATGTAAAGCGTGATAAGGAAGATTACAATGAAAACTGAGGCCTTTAGCTCGTCGCTCATTGTATTCATGTTGATTGCCCTGTGCTTGTGGTTCAATTCGATCCAGCCTTTGAGACAGTAGCACCTCATTTTTCTGGCAGCCTCGAGTTAGTGCCCCTAGGTTGAGGCATCAAATTACCAACTGTGCGAGTCCCCCGTGATGCCCCACGTGACTGGTGGCCGATCAACTCTAGATCCCGAGTAGGCTCCTTGCGATTCCTGCAAATCCAATTCCACACTTCGACTCACTCGAATGGTTGTTTCCAAGTCTTTTGGTTCAAAGGCACGCAACTTATTGCGAAGAGGACATTGGAGGCCATTCAGGAAATACCCCAAGTAATGATCCTTAGCGAATCCTGGCACTTGATTCGCTAACCCTAGAAAGCTATCCACATAGGCATCCACCAGGCCAGTGTGTTTCACAACCGCTAAGTGTCAAAGGGGCTGCCAACATAGCGATCATCAAAACGGACCATCAAAGCTTGGGAAAATTCCACCCATGACGCATCGGAATGGCGTCTGCGCTACCACCGGAACCAGTGCAGGGCTGATCTCTCTATCGCAATCATTGCCAATTGCACGCGTTGCAGACCCGTCACCCGATGTAATTCAAACTGTTGTTCTGCTCGTGCAATCCACCCGAGGAACGGTGCCATCAAAACTCGGTAAGGTGACATCAAAAAGACGTCGTATAAAGGCTTGATTATCTCCAACTTTCTTTTGCTACGGGAGTGTATTCGCAACCCTTCCAATTGATGCGGACGCAGATGGGTCTAATGATCTTGTAGGGGCTCTTTGAAAGGCCTGAACAACCGCAAGGATTTCCGCAGTCTGCTTTTGTAGCGCATCTTGCTGTGCTACAACGGACACATTGAGTGCTTCCAGTTTCTGTCGAATGTCTCGCTGCTCTTCACAGACCACTCCCAATGTATTTTATATTTTCCAAAATTTTCGCATCCCTTGTAATTGATATCTCGAACCGATCCGGCAGGTCGAACCAATTTGGTAGAAACAAGAACACAATTTAATAGAAATAAGAACCAATTTTAGTACTCAAAAGAAAATTGATATCTTCTGCCCTGCCCTGCCCAGCCCTAGCCGCTCACACTTTATTCTTTTCTGGATAAACTTCTCTGACCCTAATTCCATTTATTTATATCAACTTTTAAATATAATTATAAATAAGATAAGGACTATTTTGCAATGCAAATATATAGTAATTGTGGTAATGCAGCAATTAGACCAAAATGCCCTTTTCCGCGTCGTGTATAGACACGCAGCGGCACCGGGCCATTGTTTCCGGTGTTTGGCGGTTGTTCCATATCATCTTCCTATTCCTCATGGATGCTGAAGCAGGCATTTAAAGTGGACATATAATACTGAATAAAAATTTATCCGGAGCAATATTGTATTTCCTGGATATTTCTTTAAAGCATAAGACTCTTGAAACATAAAAATTTCAATGACAAGTGATACATTTTCCTTACAGCAGAAATACACATGCTTTATGGGAAATGAAAGTAAGAGGCAGAAATTTCATGTAAAAAATCATGTCCAAACAAATTTTAGCAAACCTCAACATTGAAAGAGTTGCATTATATATGCATAGCTTTGGTGCAATCATTATCAACATAACTATGACAAGATGCCAGAGGAAAAAACAGTTAGAATGGAAATAATTAATGAACTAATGATGGAGAGGGTGGGGACGAATAAGAAAATTGGGGGAATTGTTCTTCACAGCCCAACAACTATGGTTAGAGAGAGTGTAAGAGCATGATGTCAATGTCATGTGGTCTATGAAGTAGTGGGTCTATGTGAAAAATCTCCACAACGCCACTACTAAATGTTAATGTGGTCTATGTGAAAAGTTTCCACTGCTCTACTACTCTCCCGACTCTCCATTAAACTTCTCTTAAACATGTCGGTTACTTCTTTTATGGGAGGAAGTAATTGAGATATGAATTTTAGATTTTTTGGTCCCCTAAGCATCACTATATAAAGGCTTCTACACTACCTAGAGAAATAGTGCAAGTTCTTAGAAGAACCAAAAAAATATTGCATTCAAATTTGACACCAATAGCCGGATGTATGTTCTTGGGGTTCATTTGAGTTTCGATTATTTGAGTTTTATTCCGCATTGAATTGATTATTATGCTCTCATTTGATATCAGAGCTTGTTTTTACCTATGTCTTGATGTTCTAAATTCTTTTTTCTTTTTTTTTTAAACAGATTTATTTGGTTTGAGATATTTTTTATGAAAATTGATGCTGAAAATCATTATGAGATCGGTTTTCTTGCAATGTTATGTGATGTCTAGTTTTAATTAATCTTGAAATAGCCACAATTTTTCTGATTAATTGAAATTATATTTTATATTTACAATCGCATATAATAAATAAAATAAATTACAATTGATCATACGGGATATAATAAAATTTACCCACAGGAATTTTGTTATATTTGTATACTAATTAGGATATTATATCAACTATATCTTTAATTTACCCACAAGGATTAAAAAATGAACATAGTTGATAGTTTTATCATATGATTAAATGAGTCTAATCGAATTAAAACTTTAGCCCACAGGCATGTTTGATGTCAATAGATTCATATTTTTACATGTCTTACATTGGTAAAACATGTATGATTTATTTGTGCTTTGATTTAATTACGATTGAGCATGTTTATTTTATTTTATTTTTTACAGCATAAATTCAATCTATTAATGTCTGATATGAAATTTGATATTCCCTGTCTTAACAGAGACAATTATAAAGTTTGGAATTAGAGAATTCTTCTGCATTTGGGGTGGATAGACATAGATTATACCATCAGGAAAGATGAACCATCTCATATTACTGAAAATAGCACTCCAAATTAGGTCAATTTTTATGAAAAAACGGGAGAGATCAGCGTTATGCTCATAAAGACTCGAATATTTGTTGGAATAAGGGGTTCTGTTGAGCATTGTACTAATGTTTGTGCCTTATTGAAAGCTATTGATGATCAATTTTTGACATTTATACGGCACTGGCTAATACCCTGATAATGCAATTCTCATCCTTAAAGCTTACCGGGATAAAGGGTGTGCGTGATCACATCATGTGTATGAAGGATATAGCGGCTCAATTGAAGCGACTGGAAGTTGATAGGTCTGATTCCTTCCTAGTTCACTCTATTCTATGTACTCTTCCTCCGCAATATGGTCCTTTAAGATCTCTTACAACACAGGATAAATAATCAATAAATGAATTGATGACCATGTGTGTGTTCAAGAGGAGGGACGCCTGGCTAAGGAAGAGGGAGAGAAAATGAACATAGAGGTGGTGGCAGAAGGAAAGAACATAAAGCATCAAGCAAGAATAAAGGGAAGGAAAAGACTCCTCCACAAAAGGACATCAAGAAAGCCAACACGTCTTTTTTTTCTGTAAAAAGAAAGGACACACAAGGAAAAATTGTCCTACTTCAAGTAGCTTGAGAAGAAAGGTACCCAACTTTCATTTGTTTGTTATGAATCCAAAATGGTTGACGTTAATCATAATACATGGTGAATTGATTCAGGTTCTACAATCCATGTTACGAATTCCATGCAGGAATTGCAAAACCGGAACCAGTGGGAAGTGAGTTGAGCATCTATTCTGGAAACAAGATGCCATCACATGTGAAAGATATTGGGACGTGCAATCTAGTTTTGAGTAGTGGTTTTGTTTGAACTTTGGAAAAGACTTTCTACATTCCTATTTTTGCTAGAAACTTGATTTCTGTTTCAAAACTTGTTTCATGTGGCTATCGCTTTAATTTCATGAACTCTGTTTTTAGTTATCTTTCAAATCAAATGTCATTGGACATGGAGTTTTGAGTGATGATCTTTTTCGCCTTAATAAGCAAAATATTGATTGGCCAACTACTTTAAACGTTCAAGATAATGTCGGTACTAAACAATGTATTATAGATGAAAATTCCTCTATATTTCTGGCACCGGAGATTGAGACATATCTCCATTGAGAGAATTAAAAGATTGGTAAATGAAGGAGTACTTGATACCTTGAATTTTACTGAATTTGAACAAGTCTAGATGGGGTGCAAAGAGGAGTTCAAACCTATTGGAGGTTATAGGTACATATATTTCTTGTCCAAAAGTAGTCCAAAATACTTCATCACCTTCATTGACGATTTTTCACGTTATATGTATCTCTATTTGTATTATTCTAAGGATGAAGCTTTGGATGCCTTTAAAGTTTTCAAATCCGAAATAGAGAAACAATGCGAAATAGATTAAAATCGTCTGATCAAATAGAGGTGGTGAATATTATGGTAGATATAAGGAGAATGGACAAGCACCTGGTCCTTTTGCAAGGTTTCTTCAAGAGCATGGGATTGTTGCCCAATACACTATGCCCGGTTCTCCTGATCAGAATGGTGTTGCTGAAAGAAGAAACTAGACCTTAATGAATATGGTGAGAAGTATGTGGAGTAATGTAAAACTTCCCGAGTCTTTGTGGACTGAAGCTCTAAAGACGGCAACATATATGTTTAATCGAGTTCTAACTAAAACTATCTCAAGGACACCTTTTGAGTTATTTAAAGGTTGGAAACCGAGTTTAAGACATATATGCATTTAGGGATGTCAGTCTGAAGTGAGTTTACAATCCACAAGAAACTAGACCCGAGGACCATTAGTGGATATTTTATTGCATATGCTGAAAGGTCTAAAGGTTATAGATTCTATTATCCATCTCGTAGTACTAGAATTGTGGAATCAAAAAATGCAAAATTTCTTGAAAATGACTTGATTAGTGGGAGTGGTCGCCCTCGGAACATTGTTCCTGAAAAGAATCATCATGAAGCTCAACCCTCAGGTTCAAGTGATAGATTAGTTGTCATTTATACCCCTCGAGTACAAACTAGTATTAGACGACCAACTATCGCAATTTCACAAGCTGCTGATATTGATCAAGTAGATCGCACTTTACATAAGGAATAACAAAAAATTGTTAAATAACCAGTTGATATTGTTGATCAACCGGCTTAGCAACAAGTATCCAAGAGAATGATTATACAATGTTATAAAAATCTACTAGAATAAAGAGATCAACTATCTCTGGTGATTATGTTGTCTACCTACAAAAGTGTGACCACAATATTGGAGTAGAAAATGATCCTAAAACGTTTTCACAGGCTATGAATTCATCAACATCGAACTTGTGGTATAATGCTCTGAAAGAAAGATGAATTCTATGGCATCCAATCAAGTTTGGAATCTTGTCGAGTTATCCCATGGTATAAAGCCGTCGGATGTAAGTGGGTCTTGAAAACAAAGAAAGACTCGAAAGGTAACATTGAAATATATAAAGCACGGTTTGTTGACGTCGGAGACTTTTTCTCTTGTATCAAAGAAAGATTCTCTTCGAATCATTATGCCATTAGTGGGTCATTTTGATTTTGAGTTACATCAAATGGATGTGAAATTGACATTTCTTAATCAGCATTTTGATTTTCAGGTTTATATGCAACAACCTGAAGGATTCTTCTCTAGAGACGGTGAGTATTAAGTATGCAAGCTCAATAAATGCATATATGGTTTAAAACAAGCCTCTCGTCAATGATATTTAAAGTTCCATAGTGTCATTACTTCATCTGATTTTGAAGAAAATAATGGATCAATGTATATACCTGAAGGTTAGTGGGAGTAGGATTTGTTTTCTTGTGTTATATGTGGATTTTATTTTGCTTGCTACTAATGATAAAAATTTGCTATACGAGGTGAAATATTTTCTTTCTACAAATTGATATGAAAGATATGGGAGAGACATCTTATGTCATTGGCAATAAGATCCATAGGAAAAAACATCGAGGCATTTTGGACTTGTCTCAAGAGACCTTATATCTATAAAATTTTAGAGAGATTTCGGATGAAAGATTGCTCACTAAATGTAGCTCCAATTCTCAAGGGCGACAAATTTAGTTTGGATCAATGACCTAAAAATGATTTTGAGCAGGAATATATGACTAACATTGCATCATGTATGCTCAGGTATGTACTAGACCTAATATAGCATATGTACTACTTTTACCATGGAGGCAGAGTCTGTCATGGTGTATAGTTGAAAAGTTTCATATCTGGGCTTAAGTCATGGATCCTATTGGTAGGCCATTGAAGATATATTGTGACAATTCAGTTGCGGTTTTTATGGCTAAGAATAATAAAAGTGGTAGTCGATGTAAGCACATCGATATTAAGTACTTAGCCATAAGAGAACTTATTAAATAGAATAAAGTGGTCATTGAACACGTTAGCACTGAGTTGATGATTGTTGATCCTTTAACTAAAGGCAGGCCACCAAATAATTTTAAGGATCATGTAGTACGAATAGGACTTGTTATGTGATGTAATTTCACTTGTTCGTATATCTTTGTATTAAATAAAACTCTTATTCAATTGATATTTTCTCATTTAGTTTTATGCTCATATTTGTCTTGAGAAAATTATCATAAAGATGAGGGCCTGGAATAAACATAAGGTTTATTCATTAAGATGTTTGAGTAATTTTAGGAATCAAACTATATTACATGGAAAATAATACTCGTTGAAGAGGACCTATTGTCATGATTCATGCATTTGTTTTTTTATGGAGTATAATATAGACCAAATGGGAGAATGTTAATGTTATGTGGTCTTTGTGAAGTAGTGGGTTTATGTGAAAAGTATTCATTACTCCATTACTAAATGTTAATGTGATCTATGTAAAAAGTCTCCACTACTCCACTACATTTTCTTATAATTTTCTTATAATTTTCCTATTGATGCTGAAACCAACATTTGCAAAGGAGGAAAGCCGATAACCTTGAAATACAAAAATTATGGTTTTAGGCTTTTTTTTTCTTTTTTTTTGTTGGGATGGTATCATTTACATGTTTTTAGCGAAAGTTGTACTGTATGGCAATTGGTTCACTTGTTGAACTATTCAAGAGGTTAAATACTAAGCCAAGCTAGTTTTGTGAAGGCTGGTTTTAGAATTTTGAGAAATAATGATCACTTAACATTGGGGATCAGATTTCAAGTATTTCACAAAGGTGTCAACTTTTTTTTAACTACTCCATACCTCTAGACATTCTAGATGATACAACTGACCTTTCTCCATACACTACAATTTACACCTCTCGATGTTCTAGACGCATGAAATATTCCCACCGATGCCAACAAATTAAAAAATTGATAACAACTTAGACTAAGGCCAAACACAAGCGATGAAATGTAAAGACTAGAGCAAACAAAGAAATGCAGTGGTTACCATATCACCAGGAAGCTGAGAACTCAAAGGTATTCTTTTCCATGTTTCCCCAGCATCTGCAGTGTACAACAAAATCGCCGGTTTGCCTACAATCCAACCTTCTTTTCCTTTGAAGCTAATGGAGTTGAATCGATAATTGAAATCCTCATCTTCAGCTGAGGGTATAGTGCGTGGAACCCAAGTATTGCCTCCATCTTTAGTCTCCAAAATAGTTTGTCTGGTGCCTAGCAAAAAACCTGCCCAGCAATTCAAATGAGATTATATACGGCGCTTGCTCAGCTGCATCTCCATCTCCATCTCCATCTCCATCTCCATCTCATCGCTATATCATACATCCAAACTTTTAAAGTTCTGATCAACAGATGCTCGTCTATTTTTAAAGAAATTTAGCAATAGAAAATTAGCTCCTTTGTTCTAAGTAAATTAAGGGACTGCACATTCCTGAACAGCACCAAAGCATTGTCTGATCGATCAATACACTTCAAATGAACAACCGAAGGAAATAAAAATAAAATTATAGCGTGTAATTTCTCCGTCCTAACCGTGAGAAGGATCGTCCGGCACCACAGCAATATCCAGAAGGACGACGCCGGGATCAGTGGGGAGGTACACTCTTTCCCATTCGGACAGCTGGTCGTCTCCCGCCAGCGCCGCGGACCCTAACGGTGAAAGTGAAATTGCAGCGGCGGCATGTAGGCCGCCGATCAGTTGCCGCCGGCCAATGGCATAACTCCTATGCTCGGTAGGAGGCGACTCACGAGCGGCGGCGGAGGCGGAAGGGACGAAGCTGCGGCGACTGCGGGCGGGATGAAAGTGAAGCCGAGAGGGCGGAGGAACGACAACGGAGGAGGAGATGTGCTGCAGCACTGCCGCCATAGCCGTTCTCTGTGTGGCTGAGTGATGGTGATGATGTGTACGAAGATTATTGCCTATACTACTCTCCTACACACCTTTTCTTATCCGATAGATATAATATTTATATATATATACGTATATTCTTCAAATTAATTTAGACTTATTTGAATTTTTGGGATTTGTTTGAATTTTGTTGTTCTTTTGTGTTTGGATTTGGTTAGGGTTTGGAGAATTTTGATTTGTATTGATTTGATGGATAATAAATAAAATAATATAAATATGTATTAGATTTAATTGATAAAATTAATATTGTATGATTTGATTATGAAGTTATATTATAACCAATATATATTTAATTTTTTTTATTCATATTATAAAAAAATTTATTCCCTACAAATGACATATATATATATATTGTATATATTTTTTTACCCTATAATTATTATAAATATTAGATAAATATAATATTTTTTTGAAAGAAAAAATACTGTGCACAGTGTTTGCACAATGTTTTCCCCAAACCAGCCTTGGGGAAACATACCCTCAATTTCCTTATAATTCTTCACTAATAATTTTCAACTCTTATTTCCTTTTAACTCTTATTATTATTAAAAAATTTAAATAAGGCTATTATTTCAAAAGATTTATATGCGAATTTTAACTTTAAATAAATAAAAAAATAAAATTGTTTCACCATTTTCATGCAGCATAATAGCACGTGCTCGATCTCTAGTTTGTATAAAGTTTTCATTAAAAAATCGTAGCTCGGCTTTTCTCTCATCAACTAGGTATTGTGTACACTCGTATGTTTTATATTATTTATTTGTTGTTTATAAGATTTTTAAGATTAATCAGTATGTTCAGTCAGTAGATGAATTTATTTTTTGTGTGGTATGAGAAACTGTGTTAGTAATAATAAATAATATTTTGTGTTGAATGGTTGACTTTTTATGAGTGGATAATATATAATATTATGTGTGCATATTTATATTTTTTAAATAATATTTATGGAGAATTGTTCCATTGAGAAATGCCGAGTGAACAGACAGAATGTCTTCTAATACATTGTTGATATTTCTTATCGTAATATAGCAATGTATAAAAAACATGATGACAAGAAAATCATCGTAATTCCAATAAAAGAATGGAGAAAGTGTGTAATCCAAAATTATTACATTTCACGTCAAAATTATCTATTTTCAGAGGAAATCAGGGATGTTTCCGCGAGCTCGCGGAAACATCTTTCTGTTTCCTCTTAAAACAACAAATTCATCCTTGAAAATACCTGTTTTTGGCGGAAACACAACATGTTTACAAGTACAAATTTTGAAATGTTCAAGTGCAACTTTATTCCTATATAGGTACAACTTTGATTTTATGTAGATATAATTGTCTTTTATTGTAGGTACAACCTTCTGCATACCATTTTTTGAAGCATTTTCATCGCCTTATCGTGCTCGACCAATACCACTTGTTCAAAATAATTTTTACTCGTGTCCCACATGAAATGTGGCGTTGGAAGTGGGTTTAAGGATTGTGAATGCGCATTTGACATGAAAAATGACATTATACCTGAGATAACATCTCTGATTTTCGTTGAAAACAAGTATTTTTTTTTTTTACCTCAGATAAACTTTTCTTGTGAAAATATAATATGTTTCCGCGAGGTCGCACTTGGCCCTCGCTAGTCTTGTACCTGTACTGGAAGACTTGTACTTCAATATCAAAGTCGATAGTTTTGGATTTTGCCACCGTATTTGGATGCAACCGTACATATACATCAATAAGGAGCACATATCCCCTAAGTTACAAGAAAAATCCTCAAAACTACAAAGCCATTTTTTATGTCAAATGTAAATATTATAATTGTATATATATATATATCTAAGGATTGTTTATAAATATTAGTAAAATATAAATGTAAATATATATGTAAATAAATATCTATTCGTAAATATTATTTATAAATATAGTATATACAATTATATAAATTAATATATATATATATTGTAACCGTCTCGAAAAAATGATTGCAGAAGAGTGTGCCTACCGTATAAGACAGTTATACCTTCACAAATTCAAATTTCTACCTATAAAGGAATCATGTTGCACTAAGCCATCGCTAGGTTTGTACATGTACTAGAAGAAACTTGTACCTCGATATCAAAATTGATAATTTTGGATTTTGCTAGCATATTCGGGTGCAACTATACGTATACTTAAATAAGGAGCACATATCCCCCAACTTACAATACCATATTTCATGACAAAATGTAAATGTATATATAAATGTGAATATTATCATTGTATATATAAATGTGTTGATGTATTTTTTCAACAATAAAAAAGTAAAATTCGAAAATAAGAAATTATCCTCGAATTTGATATAATTAGTGCCTGAGATTAGGAATCTCTAAACATTGTTAAATTGGAAAATAAAAGACTGAAAATTTAAATGATGATCCCCGAATCACTTACTTTATTGTCGTTTGAAGATGATTGAAGATACCCTGTCAGTTGCAGATCCCAATCCTTAAATATTCCTCTGAAACAGTACCTGGAACCGTCGCCCGAACGGTTACTACGCCTTCTCTCAACCGTCTGCTAATTCCTCTTTTGCTGACACGTGTTCTCAACCGTCTTGCTACCCGTGTAGCCCAACCAACCAAACTACTATTCTCACTCGCTCTCCGCAGCATTCGACCTCCACAACAACCGACTCGCTCATCCAACTGCGGATCAACCGACCTGCCTGCCCGACCGCAGACCTTCTGACTTGTTGGTCCGACAGACCTTCCGACTTGCCTATCTGACCGCAAACCAACTGACTTGTTGGTCCGACCGCAAACCTTCCGACTTGCCTATCCGACCGTAAACCTTCCGACTTATTGGTCCGACCGCAAACCAACCGACTTGTTGGTCCGACCGCAGACCTTCCAACTTGCCTATCTGACTGCAAACCTTTCGACTTGTTGGTCCGACCGCAGACCTTCCGACTTGTTGGTCCGACCGCAGACCTTCCGACTTGCAAACCATCCGACCCGCTGACCAACCGACCTGTGGACCGTCCGACCTGTAAACTGTCCGACTTGCAGACTTACCGCCCTATGAACCATCCGACCTGCGGACCGTCCGACCTGTAGACTGTCTGACTCGCAAACTTACCGTCCTATGGACCATCCGACCTGCTGACCGTCCGACCTGTAGACTGTCCGACTAGCAGACTTACCGTCCTATGGACCATCTAACCAGCCTATTCCTTTAGAAATATGTTCAATTCACCCGATTATCTTGAAATACCCCTTAAAAGTCTAACAGACCCAATTACAGGCCCATATTTTCTTCTAACTTGGGCCTTTTAACCTAATTATAAATTTCATACGTAACAACTTGCCCGCCGCCATCGGACTTTCAAACGCCATTCCTCAATCGCCGTTTGGAAGTTCGCAATCTATATATAACAATACCCCTTATGTGGAACTGCATCTGCTACTGCAACCAGTTACCGCAACACATTGTTTGCCACAAAACTCTTCACCTTCACTACTGGCTTTTGCTGTCTGTCAATCTCTGCAACTCCAAATCATGGTAAATCAATACATACCTGCACTTCCCTTCGACGGATCAGTTCCAGAAACAGCGTTTGGTGCGACGAAAATGCTTACTCCTACTATTCACCCATACTGCACCACTCCAGAAGACTCCAACCGAATGAGAGAGGTCTTGGAGGCAGGAAACTCACTCTTTGTCAATAATCCCAACTACAACGCTATCAGTCTCCATGACAATATCAAAACGCACCTGACAGATCCCAAAGATCCCTACCGCACCTGGTACAAAAGGGTAGCAGAACGTTTTTGAGATCAATGGAAACACCAACAAATCGATCAGGCAATACTGCTATCCACTCTCCCATGTCATTTACATGAGAAAGTTCTTTTAGCGATGTCGGCGTTCTGGCACTCAGAGATGGGCGCCTTCCTCCTTCCTACAACCCCCATCGGCCCCACACTCATGGATGTGGCCATGATCGCACATCTTCCAATTGTGGGTAAGGACCCTGTAATGGGTGCCCTAGATGGGCAAGAGCCCAGCGCAGACCATTTGGCTGGTCTCTGGCTGACGTAAAGGAATGGGGCTGGACCAAATTTTTAAACGATCAGCAAGGAGCAAACGGGACCCCTGTGACCGACCGTGAGCATACTACTTTCCTGCTCTTTTGGCTCTGTAAGTACGTCATAATTTCCCCTTCAAAATGCGTCATTCCTTCTCATCTCAACTTGGCCATACATATAGTCTCAGGTCGTTTATTTTCTCTGGGTACTCTCTTCTTTGCCAATCTTTTTGAAGGACTATCCAGGGTTAGCACCCACCTTACAAATAAGGATGGCAAAAAATTAGATACCGCCGCGTCGGGCCCTTTTTGGTTCTTGGAATTGTGGTTCCGTCTCTATTTCCCAGAAGCTTTCCAGCTTGGTCATCCCCCTGTTGCTCCAACTCCTGACAAGTCTTTAGGAATAGCCCTTAACCAACTTTTTTTGGGTCGCAACAACCTTCAAGCATCCGACCCTATCATAACTGCCATTCTAGCCGATGACCGGAGTAACTCCCGATTTTACATGTACATAAAGTATGTCGGTTATGCGTCTGACCTGTTCTGGCCATTCCCTATATCTTCACCTTTGTCCGAACCGGACCCGCTTCCTCACCCTACTTACTCCTTCGCCTGGGATGCTGCTCTTAAACCCAGATCTTCGTTTGTCAGTAAGAAAATCGACAAGAAAGGCCACAAGGCGTTTTATACCTTCAGTTATCAACCTCAATTTTTGGCACGCCAATTTGGATGCCAACAAGGTTTACCTAGCCCCATCGCCTGCCCACATATAATAATCCAAGGCCCGGACGGGAGAGTTATCCCTGAATTGATTTCTCCTTACCTATCCCAATTAACCAATTACATAACTTCTAATTCCTATATTCCCTTCCGCTCTTATCTAGAATCTGTTGAGTCCTTATGTGAATGGTGGTCGGTCACCTGGGCCTTAATTGCTCCTGACAAAGACTGTCTGCTGGGCATTCTTCTACCCCAGCCTATG